ATATATATATATATATATATATATATATATAAGTTTACGTATAAGTCTGTGTATATATATATAAAAAACTATGTATATGTATGTGGGTGCATGTGTGTAAGGGGCGTTCCCCCTACGCTCCCATATACATGTAGTGCATATATCGGGTGCATATAGGGGAAATCGCTCCAAGGTTGCTCCCTAAGCACCGCTCCAAGGGTAGGGAGCTTCAGCCAAAGGTCAATCCCAGGCTCTCGCACGCGCTCCCACTTCCACATCCAACAACTAATGAGTTATTGAATGATAAGATGAGGAAAAATTCAAAATGTTAGGTACAATCCCTAACAGACCCAACGAATTCCTAATTGCAATCATGGGATCCTCTTGAATTCATTCTTTTGTCACATTGCGATATTTCGAACCATTTAATGGATCAGTTCGAGAACAATTGGATGATGACAAAACCATAAGAGATTTGCCCTGACCTTCCTTATTTCTATACAGCAATGTACAAATAGTTCCTTGATGTTGGCTCGGTGATTGAGTCTTCGCCTTGGAAAAAAAGGATTGGTATTGATGCGATCTGATCCATTATTAGGGATCAATCCTGAACCCGCCATATCATTCTCTTTTCCAGTAGGAAATAGGAGACTTCACAAAATCAATTATTATAAAATTTAAAATCAGAACGTTGACCCTTACTTCAGCGAGGGATGTATAAGCCTCTTCTTCTTCTATAGAACCATCCCGGTCTTGATCCCAATTCAATACTAAGCCCCTGATCATCGGCAAAATGCATATCCATTTCTTCCCTTCAATGTGGAATTTGGAGCTGTGGAATTTGAAGCACCATGAATAATGCAAATCTGGTGGATGTACGAATACTAGAAAAGGATGGCCTAGAAATGGTGGTGCAACCGTGAACGATGGACCTTTTATTGCGGTTCAATTGCAATTTTTCAGATCCATTGTCATGGAGGTCGAGATGATGGAATTGTAGAGTTCCCAGAATTCATTCTTCTAACAAGTTTTAAGGTGCCGCAGCATAGATCTGCATCAGTACTCAAAACTCGCTCTAGTCAACTTAGACTCGAGCGCAATACTCGAACACGACACCCTATGAAGTCCAGCACAATGTATACATGTATAGTGCTCGAGCAAGTACTGCACAGACCCAAAAAATGTGAAACTCGGCCTTGCCTACTTTTGAAAATTTGCAGTTTCTTTGCAATCAATGGTCAATCTTTGATGAAATCCGGTCCCTAAGACTATTTTGTGTTGCAGATCCAACCATAGGTCAGATTGTCACAATAAAACACATAAAAAAAAAAAGGAAGAATTTGAGAGATTTAAAATATGAATTCACTATTCATCCAATTTTTTCAAGTGGTCGGATCTCCTAGACCCAAAATCAAAAACCAAAAAGTATTTCGGAATTCTGATTGGGATTGTTTGAGGAAGCTTTGACCAGGAATTGAAGCATCAATTCACATCATCAAGCGCAAAGATCAGCGACCTTGAAATTTTGGATATTCTCCATTTTTTCCAATTTAGATTCATAAAATTGATTTGTTTTTAACTAAATCAAGTATAACTGATTTAAATTTCATTTCGCATATGTTTTATGCCTTTTTATGATTTTCTGTTTTCTCTTTTTCTGAATTACCCTTTTCAAAATTTTCTACCTTCTTTTAAGCCAATACCATTACCATATATTTAATTCCTATTCATTGTTTTGCATGGTTCTTTTAATTTTTGTACATTTTTATTTCTTTTGGTTTTCTACAATTTCTATTGATATTTTTTGTATTTTTTGCCCCTTCTTATGGCTCAGGCTAGACTAAGGCAAGTCTAAGCTAACTCACCGAGTCACTCGGCTCAGGCAGCTTCCGAGCACCTCGCCCAAGCCGATTAAAATCACACACGTGCACACACATGTATTTTTACCTTTGTGTGGTTCATCTTACAATAGGCACTTATAAAAGGTTTTTGGAAACTTAATGCTCTCATCCCTTAGTTTAAAACATTTTTTACCTGGGACACTTTTGGTTATTGGTCTAGGATGCAGGGGAGTTAAATTACTGTTGAAGGACAAGGGCATTTGCTATCTAATGAGAATGTAAGACTAATGAGAATGTGCGACATCACCCATTTCATATATTTATTGTCTGACAACAGTTAATAAACAATGTACGATACCTGTAATTATCAAACTACATAAAATACCCCATATAAGAATGTTTTGAACTAAAGGTTCATTCTCTAAAGAATTGAAAGGTCTTTTAAGGTTCAAGGAGTACTATAAAAATGAGAAATGATCAAAAGGTTACAAGTGTGACATAACAATAATCCCAAAACTGGAGAGCAGATGCAATAAATAATTTTACAAGCTTCAGGCCCATATGTCTGGTAACAACTTTGCCAAGGTGATTGCCAAAGCATTGGGAGCATCATATGCCCTTGCTACAAAATAGTACCATACTTATCATCATTGAGAAGCCCACCAAATCTTGTTGGGCCCAATGCTACAAGTTGATTTGGAACCAAATGGAAGCACAAGCAAGCCCATACAATCACACACACAAACCTTACAAGCAACATATACCAAATTAATGAAGCTTCACCAAAAGCAAACTCATTACGTCCAAATTCAAAATCCAACTCAAAAGCCCCAACGATTCAGAAACAAAAAACATCAGTGTTATCATCAACTAGGATATGCCATGGAGACAATTCCCTAAGTTTACACGTTGGACCTTGGATACATGTAAATAAAGTGAAACATTCTATACAGTAAAATTTGGATTGCATGAAACAGACAAAAATGGAGTTTTTGTCACTATAATTTATGGCCCATCTGGATGGTGCCCCCAAACATGGTTTGGCATCATTGGCGTGGAATTTTAGGTGAGACAATTTGTGATTGAGAGGTTCCTTTGGGTGATACATAGAAACCCGTATAGGTGCGGATTGCACTCAAAAAACATGGCCGTTGTGCAAGTGAGATGAAAGCTGAAAATACTAGTTTCCATCCCAGTTGCATAATGCTGCATTTTGTTGGGGCCCTAACCAGACATTAACCAAAGCATTGAGTTGTATCCAAACTAAGGGTTATGCTTCAAGGTTCAACCCATATCATAAAACTGGATGTTGCAATTTCATAGCATACAGCAATCAGCAATTGTACCTAAAGAATTGCTTAATAGAACCTTCTAAGTAACTTGCGGAACTGCTAGAAGTATTAACAACTAGGATGTTGAATTTATCAAAATAGTTCATGAATTTTCTAACATTATAACAGTGTAAAGTCAATAGGAGTACCAGTCAGCCTTCTCGGGCTCCATTCGAACTACTTCAGCAAATCCAGCAAGAGCTCCTTCGGGATCAGACTCCACCAATCCTACAAATTAGAAGATCAATAAAAAAAAAGACTAGTGAAATACCATAAAATTAGAAAAAGAAAATTCCTAAATAGAATGATATGATATGAGATGTTAACCAATGGCAAAACAGATGGCCCAACAATGCAATATACGAACAATTTGCAAGAGTTTAAACAACTAAAAGAACTTTTGAAAGAAAGCGTCAGTAAATTAGCTTTTACTATTTTTGCCAACTAGATTCTACCACTTTACCTCTTATGATTATTTTTCTTCTTTGCACCAAACTTTATGTGACATCAACAATAACATGATATTGAATATTTTTCTTCTTTTTTTTATGTGGTGATATAGAGTGTTCTGTCTAACTCCGCCATTGCTGGTCCCAAGCCTGGATGAGAAAGGAGGATTGTGCTAGGTGACAACCAGCGGAAAACTTTTGCCACATCCATATCAAGAATCATGATCCAACGTTATATTTTAATGCTAGGGAGTTCACTGTAAGTGACGTGCTGTAAGGTTTCCCATCATATTTTTGACAAGCGTGGGTAACGAAGCTAGTCCAAGAGAATAAGATTTGTCTAGCCACATAGAATATAGGAACTCAATCAGGTAAGAGGGTGGAATAAGTGGATACAAAAAAAAAAAGGAAAAAAGAGAAACAAAAAAGAAAAAAAAAAAAAAGGGGAAAATACAGGGCAGATTGTAAGGGGTATTTTGGGGCCTCTACCCACCCTCTTCTTACTTCCCCAGACTTGCTCCCTGGTTCCTCTCTCTCTCTC